GAGGGTAAGCCAGAGACTTCAGAGATAGCTACTAGAGATAGAAAAGTTCTTTACCCTTGTCTCTACAAACAGAAAGATCCTTAGTGTCTTGAAGTGAGTAACGATAAAATAACTTGTCCATAATGAAAAGTTCTTCATTATTACAATAATCATTGCCCTGAAGATTGAGAGGTTACATTCTTATTAAAAAGGAAGAGTCCACCTGTGGGTCTCAGCAATGCTGTGTGGTATTGCACCGTATATGTTTGAGAGGTATTGTCCTCCAAGGTGTTTGCTTTCTGCCCCTAAAGGTTGTTGCAGGAGGTTCTTGCTAACAAGCCCCCATACCAAGAGCTGATGACCTATACTATCTCTTTGTGAGTGGCTGCAGCATTTGTCTTGTGTTATGGCATAGACCAAAGATGCTCCTTTGAACCAGATTGTTGCCTCCTTCCTTTATTTCTTGGTAGTTTCTAACTCTCCCTCTTTACCCACGTGCCAGTGTTTCAAAGATGCTCTGGGTAGGAAACCACCTAGTCTATAGCAACACTCAGGCTAAAACTGTAGCAGTAACAAAAGAAAAGACAGTTTCACAAGTAGACAAAGGAGAGATGCAGACATTAGAGAAATCTGTGGTTTGAAATCTGGCAAAATAAAGCAAACCACATTAATATATTAGCATGCAAAGGTAATGAATGCAAACCACAGCGGAAATATGTGCTTTATGCGTTCATATTTCCCCAAATTACATATATTACGTATCCATCTTCATCACTATCATGTGGTGCCCTTGTGCTGCTCGTACACCTTGTGCTTAGTCCTTGCAGGACCAGAGATGAGTGAGCTGCAGGGAGTTGAGGACAGGGAGAGAGGCTCCCTTGCCCCAAACCTTGTGGTCCTCTCTGGGTGGCAATATCTGTGGGCTTTGTCCAAACACCCTTCTGCATTGCCATCTGTATGTTCCTGTTGGAGATGACAAACCTGTTTTTCTCACCCATGACACTTTTAAGAAGTGTCATAAGTTTAGTGGGAGGGACAGGCTTGGCTGATGCAGGAGGATGCTGGCACCATGCTGGGCAGGGTGTCAACCCGCTGAGTTTCAGTGGTAGCTGGAGCTCTTCAGCACAGTGATACCAGCTAAAGTAAAGCTGATGGTGAAGGATTTGGGGTACACAAAGGCTGAAACTGATCTTATTTACTGCTTGAGTTCTGGTTTTAAGATATGTAAAAGCATGCTCCTTGCAAGTATTGAACGTGTACTGTGGTATGGTTGCAGTCTCACTGTTGAGCCATCTATTTTGCTGCAGTGTGTGAGGCTCCAAGCTGTGAGAAACACCCAGTTGTGCTAGCATGCAGGGAGAGCTGGTTTGCCAAAGTCCTGAAGAGCCAAGGACTGCACGCTAGATCGCCGTGAGTGCAGGGATCCTTCCAGCAAATTAACTGGGACCCACTCTTCAATGCAGTCGGGTCAGGTTCCGTTCCTGATTAAATCCATAGAAAATTGATTCAGTTCTCATGACAACAGGCTCTAGCCCTCTTTGGGGTGGGGGCAACTTGGAAAATGTCTACTTCAATTTTGTAGTTTAAAACCCAATAATTCTTAAGTGACTTTTCCACCCTGAGATGTTCCTGCGCAGTGGAAGGAAGGTCTATTGCTTCCCATGAAACAAAAAAGTAGTATTGAAACTTTTCTACAGCATAAACTTCTCAAGTTTCTTAGCCAGCTCTAGTAACGAGCTGTTTTCCCAGGATTGTGGACTGGGATGTTTCCCAGGGTATGCCTTAACCAGAATTAAATCTGTACCCTTCCTAAATACTTCTGTATTGCATTCGGGTCTTTTTCTAGGCAGCACTTTTCTAAATATAAATTTTTTCCTTGGACAGCCTTTCATACCACTACCTATTCTGCAAATGGTGTTAGTCCATCTGGAAATTTTGAAATAGGATCTTGAAATGAAGTTGAGTTGAAATTTACTCAGCACAGAAATACATATTTCTGGCTTTCCAGATTACGGTTACAAAAGCTGATCTAATTAACTGCTATTCTGCAGCTCTTATGGGATCTATTTTATTTGTATAACAAATACGTATCGACTGGTGGCAAGCAAGTGCTAAAGCAAGTTCAATTGCATTTTATGTTGTGTGCTTAGTCAATAAGGCATAGGAAATGTATGCCTCATGCTGGGATATTGCAGTGGCTATTGAAGCATTAGGACACAGGATTACCTAATGCTACTTAGCAATCGGCATCAACAGCATCCGTAATGTGCCTGCAGCTGTCTTAGTTACTTAGCGGGTTCTAAAAAAATATTTAACAGAGGATTTTTAAAGTTATTCTATTACACTTCACAGGTATAATTCAAAACTGGTCTATTAATAATGTATAAAATAGGAGCATAAAGCCGTTTTCTGTTCCACACTTTGGTTTGCTCCAATGATCGAATTTACCTTTAAAGAACTAAAATATAAAACATCCATGGGTCATAATTCTCAGCAACATTATTTTTTGCTTTTAGTTGCAAAAATACGCATCCCTGGTTAAAAGCAAATGTTGGCATATTGCTATAAAAGAAATATTTAAGCCTTCTGAAATATCCTGCCCAAGACTCGCTGGAATCCTGACCCAGTGTAATCTTTTCTAAGTACCTCTCTACAAGTGTGCCTCTTCAAGTATCCCTGAGTATATTATTAAAATCCCAGAGGAACTTTAGAAAGCACGTGCAGGAATGGAAAACCTTTTTAAACGGCAGTCTTTTGTATGGGAAGCTTTCTGAAGAGACCTGATCCTGCCACGTGGAAATCTGGTGGGGTTTTTGCAGAAGCTGTGCGAGGCACTTGGTGGTAGAGAGAGTATCTCACTGCTGGTATCTGACTCTGCCTTCGGCAATGAATGCAGTTCTGTCGGCTTTCTGTGGGAAAACAGGCACAGTCCCATGATGTCTCACAGGAGTAACCTGAAGGCAAATCTGGCCCTCGGTTCCTGTAAGCGTAAATGCCTACTAGTGTAGCTGAAGCAAAGCAAGTCTAATTTATTGGTCATAACAAGATCCTTCAGCACCAGATCCTGCAGATACTTAGGTTTAGCTTTGACATGAGCAGCCCCTTTGATTTCACATGAATTTGGGCATGTAATGTTAAGCGAGTATATTTAAGAATATTTTTTAGTTCTCACTTCATGTTCTTTCCTTCAGTCACTGCTGCCACTGGAGGAATTTATCATTTGGGTATCACTAGATATGATGTCCTTAAGATTTAAGTTTTATGGGCATGTTAATTGAATTAAAAGATTAATACACAGTCCAAGGGAACAAGGACGTAGGTGATTAATCCTGAGAAATAAAACATGGGTGAGTCACGTAGAAGCACTATAGGGCAAAAAGAAATCCAGCACTGAAGGACCTTTGACAAGGAAGGTTGTTTTTTCCCCCGACAGCCCTGTCAGCTATGGCTGTCAACAATAAAAAGAAGAAAACAAATAAATTGGAGGCCATGTGTAAGTCATAGGACCAGAATATAAATACACATGACATGGAAAGGAGTAAATAATACTGATGCTTTCTTTAGAAATGTTCTCGGGCAATACTTCTATTCATGTCCTACTGAAATGACATGAAATAAAACTTTATGGGGAAAAGTGTTATTAATCACGCAGGTTCTTGAGGGCATGACTACCCGTGTATTGAGAGGCACTCTTCCTTCACAGAGCTGGTGCCTAGTGCCTTATACCAATAATGCAGATATAAAGAAAACTGGGGTACTTTACGCATCAGATCATAAAGGAAATGTGTTTCACCATTGCTGTCTAGAAAGACACGCATTTTTCACTGCAGGTCAAGCAGTTCCCTATGGAGCTGGATATCTGGATGTGAACAGCAGTGCCAGAACACACAGCAAGCAGGCAGGGATGGGGCTGTGAAGGAGTCCCACACTCCTGCTGGCATCTCCATGGTGTAGTCCCACCCATGAGCAAAAGCAACTCACACCTGGGTCTGGCCTGAGAGGGCAAATCCCACTGCTCTGGGAAAGCAGAACACCTCAAATTAATGAGAAGTCTTCAAACCCTCTGAAGTAAAATGAAGGGGGGAAAAAATACAGTTTCTTGCTGTTGTCATTGAGAATTTAATACCTATCATTTATAATCAAGGTGCTCCTAGCAAGGAGGTCAACACTTGCTCCTGGCCATGTGTGAAGACAAGACCTCTGAAAGCATGCTGGCTGATCTCAGCTAAGGTCCCTTCTAATGCTTATCATACTGGGCTAGCTCCTCAGAGCAGGATCTTCTCCCTTACATGGCTGGAAAATGCCTTCCAGTGAATATATGCTCCTGCAAATAAATCTCAACCTTTAGAATAAATAATAAAGACAGTTAAACCAATAATAAAGTACGTAAATACTTTTTCATTGCTGTTAACCTTCAGAAATTACTGCCACAGGGCTAAAATGCAGTGTCAGGCTGCAGGAGAGATGTCTTCTTTGAGAAGGTGTCTACTCTAGGAAAGGGTCAAAGCCACCCCTATAAACTGTGCGGCTTCTTATCCAATGGCAGCTATGGTTACTGATTTACAACTTGCACTGGTGACATAAAAACCCTGGCAGCACCCAGTGGTACACAGAATGGTGCTCTTTGGGCTTGCAAGTTCAACTTCATAAGACTTCTGCTCCTTTTTGATCATTAGTTACATAGGCAAAACCTCAAAATAGATCCTCAAGGCTATTGCTGGGCTGTGTCTTTGTAGATCTGATTCAAAAAGTCCCTCTGAGTAAGTTTTTCGTACATCAGTGCCTGTAAAGTAAAAGTTCTTCCCTTCTCGCAGGTGCATCCACAGGTACGAGGCTCTTACATGCATGGCTGTAGCCCCTACTTGGACAACTTCACTTACACACTGCTCCTTGAGTTACGGTCCTGCTAACACAGAAAGGTGTTTGGGCTTGAAAAAAAAAAGGAAATAATTATTTTCATGGCTTTATTTGTTAGTTTATTTTCTTTAACTTTGACACATTTTATATCTCTTCTGTTGCAGGTCTGTGTGGTGTCCTTAGTGGGATTTGTTATGCTTTGCATTTCATACCAACCTGATGAGAAGACGTGTGTGCAGTTCACAGTAAAGGTACCTCAACTTTAATTTATTTTCCTTCTCATGTTGTTAAATAGAAAAACTGATACTGGAGATATTTTTAAGACCACATGAAAAGAAGTGAAAATGCACCTGAAATGCAAGAATGGTTTTCTGGTATTTTCCAGGCAGCTAAGGAAGAAACTGTAGCCTATAAAGGAGAAACTATAATAACGAATATTTCAAATCAGAGCAGTATCAGAACAAATCAGAACATGTTTTTTTGTTGTTTTTTTTTTGCCATTTTTTAAGAATATCAAAGAGATCTGAATCAACAAAGCTGGAATAACTTGGGAAGTGTTCGGTGAAAGACTGAGGGTTACTGATAAAGTAGAAATACTCATAGAGAGTTGGAGCAGGTGTAGGGTGGTATAAAATGGGTCCACTTTAATCAAGTTTTAATTTTTAATGTGATCTAAGAAGCATCTCAGCATCTTCCCAGCAGATTTGCTCCTCACCATGAAATAAGAAACTTCATAGGCACAAGTGGCTATAAAAAATTGTGGCTGCAAATCTCTACCTGCCCACCTCCATGGCTGGGGATAGAGAGGCTGTACCTGAGCACTGATAGCTATGTATCAGCACACGGTGCCTTGTGTCAGGGTGAGGCACTAGTGAACATGGGAAAGCATTAGCCAACCATAGAATAAAGCATTCTTCCACTAAGCAAATTCCCATCTGAGCATTGTAATAGAGGTGCAGAAACCGTGCACCATGGTCTGCCTTAGTCCCCAAACCTATTCTTCATTGACACTGGTAAATGGCTAGAAAAGAAAGGCTAAGAATGCTTGGTCCAGATGGGGCATTTTTAACACCATTTTCCTGGGCTATTTTTTCTTATTATTGTAATTTTCCAGGCTCTTAATATTTTGCAGACACATAACAACCAAGAAAAATACTGATGCAAGCAACACAAAATAACAGTGATTATTAACTGAAAAAGGCAGAAGGAAATAAAACGCAAGGAGTGGCTTTTGAAACCTGGCATTCATCCTCCCTTTAGAAATTAGACCCCGGTGTGTCTTTTGTGCCTCTCTCAAGCTTCTCCCATACTTACATAAAGAAAGGGAGAACAACAATTGTTTCTGCCCTTTGATTGCCTCCTCATTCTCGCCCATCACCTTTACACCCGCAAGTAAGCCTTATAGCTGCCCAGGGAGCTGCCGGGCTGGGCGGAAGCTGCCACGCCAGGCTTTTTATTGCTTGCCCTGCAGCATTAAATTGAACTTGGCATCCGAGCAGGAAGGGAGTCATCCCTCGTGGTGGGAATGGCATGTTGGGCTGGGCAGCTCAGATGTCTCTGCCACCCTTAGTAACACCGCCCACCCTGGCAGTGAGGAGCATGAGCCATCGCTGCAGCGAGAATGTAGAAGGGCTCCCCAGGAAATGTAAAATGGGTCATTCCTCATCCCCTGGCAGAATTAGAGCTGAAGTCTCCCTTGAAAGACTTCTGGTTCGGTCCATAGCCCATGGACTGCTGCCTACCCGAGGCATTCTCCTCCCCAGAATCTACCTTCCCCAGGTTTCCTATTGCAGCATGCCACAAAACTGCATCTTGACCAGGCTTTTCATCTCTCCTGTCCTATGTTCGCACTGGGAGCCATTGTTCCACAGTGCCTACCCCCTTCGCTGCCTTTCTGAAGAAATGGCTTCTGGCTGCAGAGCACGTACCTATTTTAAACCAAGTTGGAGCTAAGAGTCTCCTCCAGCCCTTTGGTCATACATCTCACCTTAGGACTCATCTAAATCCCCAATATCACTTTTCAGATCTTCAGCTGTCAGTGAAAGGCTGCCTCTGAACCAAAAAATGTCACAAGGCTGAGGATGCAAAATTGCAATCATGAGACAAAGCCAAGTAACTCTGGTCATTCTCTCCTGCTTGGGGGCCTGATGTTTCATCTAGCAGCGTGGTTGGGTTCAGCCCTATCTGCTGTGTCTGTCTTCCCGGGGACTTGCTCCCTAGCTCAGGCCCTGCCCTCAGGCTAGTGCCCACTGAAACTGCACTGGCTGCTGAGCATCACCCTAGAAGAAAATTTTGGCTGGACTTCTCTGCAGTGCAAAGAGCACCGTGGAACCCCTTGCCTAGCCCAAGGGTCAGTTTGGAAGGAGGACCATACACAGTCACAGGCCTAGGGGATTTTGGTTAACCCCTGAGGTGACTCTATGACCACTGTGAGTGACTCCCTCGGGGTGGGAAACAGCAGGAGACACATGCAGTCCTCTCTGCCTTCCTCCTTCTCAACAGCTGCTTCTTTCATTTCACACTTGCATGAGCCCTGGATCCTGTTAAAGGAGGAGGTGTTAGAACTCCTTTTGGCAGAAATCTCTTCATGAGACTGAGGGTATTAACAACACCCTGTGCAACCAGGGAAAAGGAAGACCACCACCCAAAGGGAGGGTGGCTTTGCACTTTGGCGGGAGCAATGGCAAGTCCCAGGCTAAATTTCTGCCTTGCCCCATCTCTGCATCAGCAGGAAGCATGCTCCGTAATATGGCAAAGCCACATGTCCAGCTATTTCGTGTGTATTTGAGAGGGGACATCCTCTTCCCTTGTCCAAAACCAGCCAACCAAAAAACCCCACATAGGAAAATCTTAAGATCTCCTGTGGACTTCCTGGGCTATCTGCTAATATTTGACAGATCATTCACTGTGATCCTCGTCAGCATCTTCCACAGTAGCATGACACCCTCCTGCTCGCACAGCCCCAGCTTCCCACACCGTAGCACACAGTGCGGTTCCTGCTCCCTGCACAGGGAGCCTGAGTCACTACCACCTTCAAAAGAGGTCCCTTGGATCCATGTCTGCAAACACTTCTGGTTTCACTGCTGACAACTATGAGAAGCCTTTTCCACAAGGAACTCGATCCATCTTAGGTTCTTGAATTTTATTTGGCACAGAGCAAAACTTTTGCTAGTAAATATTGTTAAAAGATTCTTCTTCATATAAGGAACCTGGAGGAGGGAAAGCTGCCATGCTCTGACCTCGTCATATGATGTCTCTTCCTGCTTCCTTTCCCTCCTTCTATTCAAACAGCAATTGCAATGCCTATCTCTCTGAGGCTGTTAAAAAATGGTTTTCCAGTGGCAAGTTATGGTTGTGGGCAGAGCTTACTACAAGGTTGTATTTGCGATACTGAAGTTGCCTCCAGGGCTGGCATGTGGTTGATCTGCTGATGGGATCACAGCACTTCTTGTCTTGTACTCCCTCACAGGCAGTACTTGCATTTGCCTCACCTTTGATATTTGGAAATGTGTTCATTTTCAGCAGCTTGCAGAGAGATTCCTCTGCAAACATCTTGTGAGAATAATAAGCTATTATTTGGAAATCGCCAATGGCCCCATGCATCTCTGTTGGGCTCTGAGGATTGCTGGAAGAGCTGCCCATGTAATTTGGATACTGGGATTTCCTTCCCTTTAGGTACAGAACAGGCAAATTCTTGCTTACTGTACTTGGAGTGTAGCTTAGGCTGTGGATTTCACCCTATTTTGTCCTGACTTTGGGTAGAAGTTGGCAGCTAAATAAAATACCTGCCAAGGGAGAATCAGGCACATCGTGTAGTCTTGGCTTAATATCTCATTTATTAGGGAGGCCTGATTCTGTCTTCTGCTGGTCTGAATCTGGAGACTTCCAGACAGTCCACTAGGACTCCTACATTGCACAACTTTCATCCCTCAGAGAATGTCCATTTTCCGTTTTCTCTATCAAACACATTTGCACCATCTTTTAAAGTAATGCCGTCAGTTTATGAATTACCATATCTTTGCTTGTAAAGGGGCCCATCAGTCAGTAGTTCTCCATTTTTTCTGTGCTTTATATGAGGTGTCCCCATTCTCCAACTTCACCTTTCTTATGGACCTTTTCCTTGAAAGTTATTGCATTTAATAAGAGCTACCCTCATTTTGAAGCTGCTCTTGGTTTAAGGCTGCACAGGAAGTCAATAAATTTAATAGTAGCCATGTCTTGGAAATTAAGATCTTGCTTTAAGGATTTGGTGATCTGGGGAGGAAATTTATACAGTGCTTTAAGATCTGTAATAAGCCCAAATATTTTATTTTTCAAACTGGCAAATGAATAGGAAGATTGATTCAATGCTGTAGACAGAAGAGAAATACACCAGGAGCATGAAATTTATCAAGACATACATACTTGGAGTTTCAAGGTCATAAAAAATGCTTTTATATTGATAGTTTGCTTGCAGTATTGAGATTAAGAAAGAGAGAAGCTGCTGTTTAAAATAACAGATTCCCAACCATGCCATGTGTCTGACAGATAAGACGCCAAGAAAAATAAATGTTTCTACAGTGCTGAACAGAACCAAAAATGCTATTTTGGCTAAACACAGAATATGATTTTAAAATACATTCACACATATTTTGTATGCAGCACAGTAACTGCCAGTTCCAGCTATCGAAAGTGAGGGAAGTCCATATGCTCTGGTATCTGAAGGTCTCAGGTGTAACTCAGAGTGACAAAGGGTCTGAGTTGCTGCCAGTTTCCATGTATTTGTGGGGGTGGATTCTACACAGCTACTCTTGATAAAAGCCACCCTATTTTAAAGCTACCACTGGTGTAAGGAGTAGTGGGGTGACAAGTAGACCCTTGTTCTTCTCATGGCATACCGCTGAGATATAAAGGGCGCTCACTGCTCTTTCACACCTTTAAAGACTTCTCCTCCATGTTTATGGGGCAAGTTTTAGAGGAAGATTGAGCACAGCATGCACTTTTTGTGGAGATTTGAATTTGTGCTCCACAGTAGGACCTGGTAAGCAAGTAGGCTGGCTGCATTCACAGGGCCACAAGCAGAAGATCAGCCACCTCGCTGCCTGATTTGCAAGTATAAATCAGATTTGTTTGGGCATGCAAACCAAGAGCCGGGAATAACACATGAACAAAGTTTCAAAAACACCTACTTCTCAGTAGCCTGGGATGTCAGCCCGAGCCTCAGTCTGCTCAGCTCTGCTTCAAGGCAACTTTATCAATTTATCTCAGCTGATGACTCTGGCCCATGCAGGTACAAGGAAGATGCTCACTCCCTCTCTCTAAAGCTTCTGGCTGTATAGAGACATCGATTTCTCAGTGCTTTCTTCAGGTCTCAAAATTGCAAGGCAATACTCATATAAAATATGCAAGGCAGAAATACTGTTCTTGAGATAACCTGCTGCAATGGTTTAACCCCAGCCAGCAGCTGAGCACCATGCAGCTGCTTGCTCAGTCCCCCTGCCCCTGGTGGGATGGGGAGGATAATCTGAAAAAGGTAAAACTAATGAGTTGAGATAAGAACAGTTTCACAATTGAAATAAAGTAAAATATAATGACAACAACAACAGAAATAGCAACAACAATAATAATAAAAAAGGGAGATAACAAAAAGAGAAAGGAATTAACCCTTATAAACACATAATACAATTGCGCACCACCCGCTGACCGATACCCAGCCTGTCTCAGACCAGCAATCAATCAGTGGGTCCTGGCCACCTCCTCCCAGTTTGTATACTGAGCATGACATGCTGTGGTATGGAATATCCCTTTGACTAGTTTAGGTCTCTGCTCCCTCCCAGCTTCTTGTGCCCCTCCTTACTGGCAGAGCATGAGAGACTGAAAAGTCCTTAACTTGGAATAAGCATTACTCAGCAACAACTAAAACATTGCTGTGTTATCAGCATTATTCTCAGCCTAGATCCAAATCACAGCACTGTATTAGCTACTAGGAAGACAATTATCTCTAAATAAGCTCTGTCCCAGCTGGAACCAGCTCACTTGTTAAACTTTGCATCACTTGGGAGTTATAGCTGTCTTGCAATTTTTGAAGAATACAGTGTCCAGGTAGTACATTGAATGCATGTGTTCCATGTGAAGTCCATATGCAAGCGTTCATTCTGTGTTCCTCATTACCCATGTAGCTGGAAAAAATGAGGATTTTTTCTTGATTTTTTCTTTATTTTTGCTTTCTTTCAGTTGATGTATTTTCTCCTGAGTGCCGTGGGTCTGGTTGCCTGTGTTTTGGCAGTGGCTTTTGCTGCACACCATTATTTGCAGATGACAAAATTTACCTGCAACACCATCTTTGAGTCCTGCCAGTGCAAACTGGACACTGAAGACCCCCTTGGTAGAACCTTCATCTACCAGGATGCAGCTGACTGTGACAGCCTCACTAGCATGCTCAACCTGTACTTACTTCTGCAGATGGCTCTCAACCTGGTCGCAGCCCTGGTGTGTCTATCGGCATGCTTCGTGATGTGGAAGCATAGATACCAGGTCTTCTATGTGGGAGTTCGGTTTTACTCTTTAACTGCTACTGAAGGCCAGAAACAGAAAGTGTAGTTCTGGGCTGGCAGGGGTTAGCCAAGGAATAGAAAATGTCAGCATACTGCCACCATAGACACCACAGATGGATGAGCATTTACAAGGTTTTTGACAGGGAAAAGCATTCACACAGTTTAATGAATACATTTTTCAATCATTTTAAGAGCATTTCATATGACTGCTCTTGCAAAAGGTCTCTTGTGAGATGATGTAGAGGTCACAAAGTCCTAAAAATGCAGCTGTACAAATACTCACCAAAGAGGATCTTTAATAGCCATAGACAAAATGAGAGCTTAAAAAATCATTGGGAACTCATCTGCAGGTCTACAGCTGTTAAGATAAAGGGTCCATTTCCATCCCTGGTATCTGTCCTTGCCTTCAGAGAAGCTATACCAATTTTTATGAGACAAGGATCTGGTCCAAAGTTCTTAATTATAATTATGCTGATCATGCCTAGGGAATATATTGTCTCTTGGATGCTCTGGGCATAACCCACACTAACTTAATGAGGGCTTAACATATGGAAAATTAATAAGGGAGGTCAAGATTCTTCAAATGAAGGTTGAGACCAACAGCAAAGTGAATATAAACAACTGCCATATAAAATATATGTAAGACTTTTCAGAGTGACTAATGATACAGGTTACCAATTACTAGTAAACAACAGTATGAGTGGGTTCACTAATGGGAATTTGGGGATATTTTTGATCCCCAGACAGATTCCTCCCCACTTTCAGAGAAAAGATCAATTAAGAAACCTTGAGTTGCACTCCCAAAGTGGAGGACCCTAAATCACTAGTCACGTTGAAAACTATGTTGACATTGCTCTAATTGCAATCCCAGGTCCCAAACCCGGTGTCTAACCAGTTCCACCAATTATACTCCAAGCACAAAAGGCCAAATGCATTTTTGGTGTAACTCCTCTGAAGACAATCAGCCTTATGAACCAGCAGTGGAGTTGGGCCAAAAGCCCTGAAAGATATATCCCTGCAACAATGAATGTTTTTAAAATGGGGTGGAGGGAGGGAAGCAAGAAGAGACTGCCAGTCTCCCAAAGACATCATTTATAATGATGAAGGCAAAAGAATAGCTTTCTTAATATGCAGTATAGAATAACAAACCACATTCAAGCAGTGCTTTTTCACTGTGAAAGTGTGGCTCTAGAAGTGCTTTATGACTTACTAGCCTTATACCATGACAAGTATGTTGGTTTGTCCCTTGAACTTACATTTCTACTAGCACAGCATGGACTTCCAAATGTAGGAGCAATTCCAAACTGGCAGCATTTTGCACTGCCTGCTGATAGATATCTGTGCAAGGGCAAGCCAGCTGGTGCTCACACCCTGCCATAAATAGGGATTTCCCTATCCTGGCCAGGACATGGGTGTCTCTGAGGTGGGGTGGAGCAATCACATGCCTGAAAAACTGTGCCATAATCATTAGCAAGGAGGAAGCAAATAAAATTTCAAGAAGGCTTCAAAGAAGCAAAGCCTTTCTGTTTCTGCAGCAAAAATAGCCACCAGGAAGTCAAAACCCCAGTCTGGCAAACAGCTAGTTGTCTAAGTAGTTCTAATATTACCCGAAAACTCTTCCTTATGGTGATCATACATCATCCCAGGGCTAGACCAGTATACCTGCAGCATCAGAAAATCACAGTGTAGTTAGGTCTCCTACGGTCCACCTGCAGCACTGCTCTGGGTATGTACTCAAGTGTTTCTCATGGAATGTGTTTCTAGAGTAGACATAGTGTCACCAGGGTGCTCTTTGCCAAGCTGCAAAGAGAGGAGCTTCAGAAAATGAAGGATTTTGAGACCAGCTTCCAAATGGTCTTTTTTTTTATGCACCCAAAAATAGCAGTCACTAGTAAGCTTGACTGTGGGGCAATTTGCTTGCGTACATGTCACCACACACCCGACGTCCTAAGCCTGGCTCTCAGGCATGCTTGGAGGAAGCTGAGATAGCAGTGGAAGGTACAGGAAGGCTGGCGATGTAAGACCCTGCTGTCAGCATTGGAGGGGCCATCTGTGTGGTGCCAGGAACCAGTCTGTCTCCTCAAACCCATTGGAGCGTGCTTGCAAGCAGCACTTGTGGACCTGTACCACAGCCAGCCTTCTATATGAGATGGATGCACAGGCGTGCCTCTTCACCTGCTACTTGTACTCAGATGCTGGTTTGTCCCCCCATTCCTCACATGACTCCAGCTGTGATCTCTGTGGAAGTGCACGGCAGAGGACAGAACTTCCTTCTACCTACAGGACCCTTGCTGTCCCTGCTTTTCCCTCCAGTCAAAAACGTGGTCTCTCCTCTCTGCAAAGAAGATAACAAGAAGCAGGAAAGGAATTGAGGGGAGGCTGAATGACAGCTGAGCTTTGGCGCTTCCTCCCACCCTTGCCACCAGGCGCTGCCCCCTAACGGCTGGTGAAGCGAGAGGAAGGCTCTGCTGGCAGAGCAGGGCATGTTTTCCACCCTGCCCTTTCCCAGATATCCCTGTTCAGAAGGTAACTTGGTGTGCAGGGCTCTAGGCTGTGGTGTCTGCAGGCTGGCAGCAGCAAGCTGTTGTGAGAAACAGCTGTCCTGGCTGGCCCTGGCTGAGTGGCATTTCCACCAGAGCAGGCTTTTGTCTCCTTAATCCTTTTACCTCCATTTCACCCACGTTTTCACTCCCTGTCTCCCAACACCTCCAAGGTGCTGGGCTTCCAGAGGCCAGCTCTGTTAGATGGGGCTGGGCTTGCATTGCCTGGACTCTGCCTTACCCACTCCCGGGATTAAACTTGCTGGGACTCCTCTAAAGCGTGAAAGACATGGTGGTAATGATCTCAGAGTCCTGAAAATGCCTCCAGTGAAGCAACAGGGAAAAGATGGGAGATCTGGATGAGAGACCCTGCTCCACTGAACAAGATGCGCACCTTCACAGAAGTGCACCCTCCAATTCCGGGGGCCGCCGTTGCTGACTTCGGTTCACTGATCAGCGTGCTGAAGCTTAAACCTTTGCTCTGGAAGTAAACAATATTCATCATGTATTCTGGTGGTGCTTTGCTGCTTAATGAATAAATATGGAGCATTTTGATCTAGCAAAGACTAACTTCAGTATTTCCTCTTTATATATTTCAAGAGCATAAAATCCAAAGAGAAGACATGGGGAAATGGACACGGTAGCGTTCTGAACTGTTTCCCCCCAGTTTTACACGTATTTTGCTTGGATCAAGATTTTCAGAAAGTACTAATTAAAGGTTTTTCACCAACCACAATATATTCAGACAGCTCCCTGCCTTTTCCCAATGTCAGAGTCCACATGGACTGCACCAAGAGAAAGACTGGGACTAAAAGGCTTGGAAAGGCCAGAGCTGTTGAATAAAAAAACCTTTCTTTTTGGAAATGTATTCTCTGGGTGAATTCCACAGAAAGGAGTAGGATTAAACCGCTATGGACGCACAGAATTTGTGAAGGGTTTGATGTAATTTACTCTCACAAACCCAGGTGGGATTCTCATTTGCACCCTGGTCACTTTACACTGTTTTCCCAGTGTAAAGGGGTTGTAAAGACAGCATCAATCATTTTTACACCTACTTTATGGCCATTTTACACAGGTAAAGGGGCCCTTTGTGTAAATGAGAACTCAAGCCCTAGAGAATTTAATAGAGAAGAGATCCTATCTATAGACTGCACTAGACCCTCTAATAGGGTCTATTACTGGGATATAACTCTCTACTGAATTTTATAGCTTGACTTAAAGATTGTCAGTCTTGATTAAATTCAGCTCTGCAGAACTTTTCCAAAGGTGACATGCATGCTCCTCCACCCCAAACACATGCAGACAGTGATGGTGTCACATGAATAACTGCTTGGTTTTTAAAAGGAGAAACAGCAGCTACCGCTTTCCTCTGGCTCTGACACATTTTGATGTTGTGCTATGCAAATACTGGAGCGACAATAATGGCAATGAAAAGGGAACCGAGACACAGCACCTTACACAGAGCCAAAATGTCACATTCTCAACCCCACCGAGGTGGCAGCCACTCCCGATGGGGGGGCTGCATGCTGTGCCCCTCTCCATCCCCTGTTGCCGCTGGACAGACGTGCTGATGGGCGATGGGGAGGCACTGCTGGTCCTGACCCTGTGCTGGGGCAGCCACCAGCCCACTCCTCCCACCACCACCTTCACGTGATGGCCATCTGCACCTTGTCAGCCCTGTGTGGGCACCACTTGGAGCTTTGCCTAAAGTGCAGCTTTGCGCAAGAGCGCTGGAAATTGCAATCAACTCACAGGGCTCATTTTTACTCTCTTTCCTTTTTTTTTCTTCACGCTACCAGCCAGTGCAATATTTGCTTTAGGGGCCTTTCGAAACAGAAAGCACGCTGCTGGCGTGTGAGAGGAGCCATGGTTCAGGTCCTCTATATTTAGAAAGCCAGGATGGCATACGTCCTCTTGAAATTTTCATAGTCCCCTGCACCCCACCCACCCACCCTCCCACGTACTCCTGCTTGCGTCTGGAAAATGCTTTTCGGTCTTAGCAAAGGGTGTTGGCTTAGGGGGATTCGAGGGACGTGCAGAGGAACAACAGCAGCTCAGTCCCAAGTGCGAAGCTCAAAGCCTCCTTAAGGCGCGGGGCAGGCGGTGGGGACCCACCAGGCTCAGGCAGCTGAAGTCGGGGTTCTCTCCTGTTGTAACAAATCCCAAGGCAGGGACAAGTTTTCCTGAGACATGTGCAAGCTCTCTGCCATGTCACATCAGGCAGCTCTGTACCCTCAGCTGAAAATGCCTTCCTGAGCTCATTTTTTGGTGGTCACACACAGTCCCCAGCACCTGTATCAAGAAGATGGATTTTGATGCTAATTCATGTCAGGTCTCTGCAGGTCCCACTCCCTGGAATTTCTGCTTTCTGCTCTGCTTCTGCCTTCTGTAATCACTAATCAGTAACATTTGTCCTCCCCTAAATTTGCTCTGTAGTCAAGTATTATAAGCAAAGATTGCATCTACAAAGTTGGGGTACTTTTGGGTTTGGTACCCCAACCCAAAGTTGGGGTACTTTTTGGGTTTGGTACTTTTGGATTTGGATTTCTATGCCTTTGTCCAAGCAAACAACTGAAAGGCTCATCTAAACTTCATTGAGGGTGGCTGGGGATTTCTTTTTTCTTTTTTTTTAAGAAGATAGGGGTAATGCATATTTCATGTGTTACCATAATGCTTTCCCTCTCCACAAACCCATCTTCACAATACAGCTTAGCCATTAAGGCCTGCTTACAGTGAGTGACTGCAGAGACAGCATGGATCTGAGACCCACCAAAGCTCACAAATGACTCCCTGCTTCACTGGGTGCACCAAGGTATTCCTGCCTGTAATGGGCGTCTGAGAGCCAGTCAAATGCAAGTGAGAGCCCAGCCTGAAGCAGGAGAACAATCTGCAGAGGGTGATTTGAATTCTGTCAGCTGTATTAGGACAGTCAGCAGGGCTGACCTCAAGTTACAGGACATACAGAGAGTGACACTGATTAAGGCAGCCTTCTGCACTAAGAGCCCTGATTATCCTGGAAATGAAACATTTGAGAAAGGCAGGTTTTTAACCCCATTTCACTCTCTGTGGCCATGTAAAGAGAACTCCCTTTTTAAATGTCCCAAAACTAACTGAAGAAGGATTTATTCTTACTGCAGCGTGGGACATCTCTTTCACTAAAACTATGATAAGAGGACGCCTTTGCATATCTGTCCTCTCTGAGGCTGGCTGGAAGCGTCACTGCTGGATGCATGCAGAGCAATGTGGAAGCCACCCTCACTTCTTTTTCTGGGACATTTTCTTCCAGCTCCACAGCTGCCAGTGCTGGCACAGGAGGGCAGGGGAAGCTGATGGCCCAGATCCATAATGTGCCCAAGTCAACCAAGCCCTGGAGCTATCGCTATCTTATTGAATATACTGGTCACTAGGGATTTGGTGGAATAGTTTAGGGAACAATCACAATGCAAAAATAGAAAACAGACATTTACACTTTCCCTTCCACCTTGCAAATCCAAGCAGGCAAGCAGCACGTCACAAGGGGAACCGAGGGGAGCTGATGGAAAAGTGAAAGCCTCCTGTCCTGTTTCACTGCTTCAAGCCTGCGGATGTGCTGAGAAACAGTGAAACAGTACAGAAAACAAACCACCATAAATCAGGCACTCTAAATGCTTTGGGGTTTCTTGATCCAAGATGTTGTTAGGTCAGGAACATGAAAAAGAGTGTATTTGTATGGGCTTCTCCCTGCTGGTCTGAGTTTCCCAAACACCAGAGTGCTGCAACAGATGGGGACACAGGCAGCCAGGCTTTTTGCTGATAGACTTTGCTGTCACCACAGGAATTAGATTTTGTAAGCTATCATCTGGGCTGGGAGGTGGGGAAGGGCAGTTTATAGGCTGTACTCATGTATCTATATATATTCTGTTAAGGCTACTGTTTTCAGATTCAGCATTTTTCCTTATACATAAAAGGAAATGCTAGGATCTCAGCTTGCAAAATTCTGCACTTCTGGGTTAACAGGAGTGGCATTTCCACTGTATTTCTAATAAAACTTTTGTCACTCACTCCACTCAGGTTTCAGTGTTTCTCTTGCTTCCCTGTTTTCCAAAGCGGCAGGACTTCACTCCTTGCACATCTCTCACCAGCTCTGGAAACGGGCACCAGGTCTGCGTGCTGCATGCGAACAGCCTCTGCTTAGCCAGGGCAGGGGAGGCACAATTTGCAGACTGGCTCCAGAGACATCCCTGCTCTCCTCCAAATGTGCTCCAGTCACTGATTACACCATTGTTCCTAGCAAATTGTCAAAAAATTCACAGGGAGACAGGGCTTGAAAATCACACAAGCTAATTGCCTGGTAATAGGCGACAAGTGGGTTTCATTAGTGAAGTGGCATGTGTGGTTATTTCTCGGTGGGAACAGGAAGGACCTGGCCCCCTGCTTCCTCAGAGGCCCTGCCACCACTGCAGTCACTGGAAATTTCAGCTGATAATTCAGGGAAAATTCAGGACCTGTGGGCAGCCGCTGGAGACCAGGATGTGCTCAGAAGGTGTCACACTGGGCAACAAGGCATGCGGGAGCATGCAGGGCTGCTGGGATGACCCACATTCCTAAGGGAAACTGTCGTTTCTTGAAGGGATCTGTGGGCAGCAACATGCTGTATTGACCCATGGCTGAACTTGTGCTGTTTGTGACATGTACCTGGATGGACATGTGTATATGTGCCCATGTTGGCACATATACACATGTACCCTTGCAGAGAGGGAGATGAGGAGGCACTATGTAACATGAAGTTTACACACGGATGTACATAAAACCACACCAAAAGCTGCCGTGGATGGGAAAGCCACAGCTTTATGTCGGTGCCTGACCATGTGTAAGTGCAAAAGAGGCCTGAATCATGGCATGACTTGATCAAGGCAGCTGTGTGTCAAAATACCAATCCTGGTGGCATACTCCTCCCAGATTTACTGCAGCATTCCGCATTTCCAAACAGCTTTGAATCCTTGTTTACTCTTTAAAGCAACCTGCTCAGAAAGCGTTTTCTCCTTCACCTCTCCTCTCAACCATGGGATCATCTTTCACTGCAGTTGAGGCTTGGTGCCAGGCTTGTTCCAGTCCTTAGCTCTGCTCAGCTTTGGGGCCACAAATCCTCACCTAGGAGGAAAACAGCAGGTAGAGTAGAAGAGGAATAAATATTTGGTTGATTTGTTTTTGTCTAGGCATGGCACATGTTACTGTTAAGATTTTTCCCACTAAAAGGAACATGTTGATTTTGGCTGGTTTGGAGTTTGATGGGTTTTCTGTTTTCAGTGGCTGTAAGGACCTGATTCAAGGCCCCTGAAATAGTTGAAAAAGTCTGTGCCCAGTTCAGTGGCCTTGGATCAGTCCATGCAGGAAATTCATTCTCACTTGCTCCTAGCTGTGGGCTAATATTTCCCATGCTTAATAGAAAGCATCGTTAGACCTGCTGCATCACACTAGAGGAAAACAAGTTATTCAATAAAGTGGGTTGATTAAGGGACAGCCTTGAAGACTAAAAATAATCAGGGAAATAAGAGTCAATGTCATATGAAAGCAAACATGCAGTC